TGCCCTGTATGCTTTGGCGACATTATGGGAACCTCAGAAGTCACAATAGGATTGATTGAGTGGTCGATGCTCCTCCTGCAGTTGCCGTGACTGTTCTCCCGATAGTCGAAAAAGTACGGAATACAAGGTCGGCCGATCTCTCGGAATCTTTCAGAACACTCGTCGCTCATCTATGGTTCCATTGATGGTAGCCTGAGGCAGCGAGGCATGACAATCTCACCAATAATTGATTTACCCGAGTGAACTTATTCACTGGAGCAGATAGAGAATGTTTTCTACATCCTCTGCGACTGTTGAACGATGCAATATTCCGATCGGTTCCGATTGGAGTCGGCAGCGATACTTCCGCACGAGATTCGATTCCGCTCAAAGTCACGAAAACATGCTAGGGATAGAGCAGGGACGCTGCAGTATTTTCAAATTGATATGACGGATCCTTCCGGAGAAAGTCGCGGCATTGCCGAGTTTCCGTTTGCCCGCGGTAGAATTCCCCTTTCCGTGATGTCGCTGCCAGAGGAAAAAACACAAAAATTATCGCAGAGAAAAATCGTTTGTGATAGGAGCCACAGCACGCTTTCGAAGTGATCATGGGCAGCGAACAATCAAAATACATGTTTACAACGCTCGCCGAGAGGGTTGTATCGAGGTTTAGACAGGTCCCGCCAAGTCCTGCCGAGTCGGACCTTGTCTCTATCGCAAGCTGCTCTGCTGTTGACAACCAAATCCATGAATGTCCCCGAGCAGATCGAGTTGACGGAATTATGAAGAAAAGGTCGGGCAATCAGGTCGAAATTTTCTGGAACTCTGGACGAATCGTCGAATTCCGTCACTGCTCGAGGCGTGCTCCCTCGATGGAGCGCGAATCGATGAGTCATCTACCGACTTGTGAATACTTGACGTGAACGAGTGAACTCTCGTTCCGTCTCTGTTGGATTCCACTCGGAGCCAGCTGGGATCAATGAACGAGAGTTCCGATTCCTGCTTGCTCGAACAAGATCCGCCCACGTAGAGTTCTCAAGGAACAAGAGCTCTCGATATATTGATACTCCGTGAATTAAGAGACCGGCGGCAAAACTGGAAAACACCAGATCCTCCGATAAATTCGACCCCGATGGTTATCATCCCAGGATGACTTATGGCTGCAAAATGAAAATTTCTGAGAAATGGCATTGGTCCCGGCAACCCACCTGAAGTCCGAGTGCAATTTTCTCGAGAGTTCGAAGAGAGTCCATCGGACTCGGATGACTGCGCTGGATCAGGATCCGGATGCTCTGAGTTCTTCCAAGAGGCAGTGAAGTTACTGATTGTTGTTCTCGTATCGACTCACAACCAGCTAACCACACTGCCAATCTGAGGAACTCCTGAAATCCTGACCGATTGTGACCGGTCCGTCTGCCCGACAGATCGGCCTACCGCTGGCTGTCTCTCGACTAAAGAGCTCATGACGGGGAAATTTCAGACACGTCCAGTTGCTAGGCACACTCCTTCAAGGTCACCTGTAGTCACTCACAACGAACCGGCCGGTCGGCCGAGCGACCGTCCGACCGATCGGGCAGACGGCTAGCCGTCGGTCCCAGCATTCCCCGAGTCGCGAAAATCTCTGTACCTACATAGATCAGGAGCGGCATGAACGAATCACGAGCCGGATCCAGCGGAAATTCAGGAACTCGTGAACGATAATTATTATCGATGATGATTCGGAAAATGTTGGAGCCCACAGTGAGAATCGAACTTACCGGGAAGGGCCTACTGAAAGCCTCTATTGCGTATCATGGAGACTACCTGTGCCTGGTGTTCCCGCTGTTGACGTCGACAGTCGGCTCGATCGAGACTTTCGCTGCCTTTGCATTGATAAACATGTTCACCGATCTCAGCTAACGTCTCGATTCCGGGAGCTGCGTGCGAAAGTTTCGGCGGAACGGTCGGTCGCTTTGTTCTCGGCTTAGTAAGTTAGTCAGTCAGGTAGACGGGGCGTCGTGCCGAGCACCTCTGGAACTTACGCAAAATGAGAGAGCACCACGATCCCGCTGCCGTTGATTCCGGCCATCGTCTAGGTTTGCTCGCTTGCTAGCGCTATTCATTCTCTCTGAACAGCTGAAAGTCGAGCCGTCTAGCAGCGCTGGTCGGTAAGGGTTGTTGCGTGGCAGAACGTCACTCAGTCAGTGAGCTAGCCGACTGAGCGCACCCGTACCGTGTGGCGTGTTGTTTACTCCGAAGTCGACTACTTCATCTCGACAAATCTCCACCACTATATTTTTCCCTCGACGCCCGGAACTACTATATTCGTATGAATGTCGTTCCTTCAATGTGACATGGTCACTCGATTGAACAACTTGTCACGTACCTCGGTCCTCTCGACTCCGGATCGAGAAGTTTCTGGGGTCCACTCGCAGCTCACTTGGGCCATTGGCCACGAGGCCGGCACTACTGCGCTCCGAGCTCGGTTTTCGTTTAAGTCAGACCGCCAGACCCAGATTCTTCCGTGGGAGACCGAGACGTCCGTACGATTGCGGAGTGCACTGGCATACGGCGGCTGACGTGGCACTTGACATCCGCGTTTTTTTAAGCTCCGAGAGGGTCGGACAGCTCCGTGTCTAGACTGTCTCTATGCGCCGCCATCACCTGTACTCGGTCGAATGGTCGAATGAAGCTTCTAGAAGTGCGACAGAGTCCGCTCGATCTCTTTTTTCTCTAATCTGATCGTGGAACAACGTTCTCGAACCCTGTCGGTATCGTCGCCGGGCACTGACAATTTCGGGGTGCGTTGCAAGGAACGCATCGACTTCAATTAGTTTTTTCAACCACTGACACTCAAAGACCTTGAAGCTTTCGAGCCGGCGAGTCGAAAAACCGACTGCGATTATGACGCTGATCGGTGCGGCCTCGTTGACGGCGCGGATCTACATATTGTCAATCCGCTAGAGATTTGCTACGCAGGGGCAACGCACCGTTCAAGGCTGTGGTTAGTGCAGGTTGTTTGTAGGTTCATCGCACCAACGACGACATCGCTGTCAAGTCCCTTTCCACGCGCGCACACTCACTCATACACTCGATGTCTCGTTGGCGAGCGAGTACACGAGCTCTTGTAACTAGGCACTATTTCTTGCTCGCAAGCGTCTCTTCCCCGGAGTGACGGCAGGGAAAGAGAGTCCAACTGGAAGGAAAGGGATCCCTCTGCCGATACCGTGGCCGCCGCCGCCGCCGCTGTCTAGCGAAAGGTCATTGTCACGGCCTTCTGGCCAAACGCTCGGTGGGCTTCTCCCAGCCCTTCGGGGAACAGCCGGTCCCCCTCCACCTGCCCCTTTTCCTAGGACTTTCCTGGAGGAGGGCTGAGGCAAGCCTGGATGCTTTCCCGTTGAGCTTGCGAAGCGAAATGGAGGCGGAGGGGGCGCCGCCCGGCGTCCGATTTCCAACAGCTCGGAACACGCACTGCGCTGTGCACTGCGTCGTATTAGCTCGTATCACGCTCGTTGTTCATCGAATCGTAGCGGATTTTCTCCAACCATAGAGACCACAGCCTCATGATGTCGCTTTGAGAACTGTCATTGGGGACAGATCCGGAGTGCACTGATCAGGGCTCCACGAATTTCTTCTAGGTCGCACTCGTACACGGCTTCTCTTTGGTCGACCCGAATCCGTCCGGGAGAAGGAGGTGACATTACCCGGATCGAGATCGTTTCGATAACGCATGAATGAGCGTCGTAAATTGAGAGTCTGAACCCTACGGCGGAGAATCGGAGACTCGCCGTTGTTCCGACTACCTGTACGCGCTTACGTCATCACGCAGTGAAGACGCAGTATGCCGTGGTGGGCTGGGTCAGTCGGAATAGAGAACGTACACTAGCGCATCCGACTGTCTTATCGATCAGGGAGGCTTGAACGACCTGAATCCAGCGCTCTCACTCGATAAACCCGTTCCGGATGTTGACAACGACCGCATGGCAACAACTTCCATGAGCTCGCCGGCCTGAGAAGCGCTACGATGCTCAGAGTAGTTGCTCACTGACGACGATATCGAACTAGCGACAGTCAGAGGGGAGAAATTCGTCAAGCTTGGCTCACCGTTACTGTCCATGTCCTCGAGTCCTCCCGTTGGGTTGTCGAGGTGCGTTGCGATGACACTGAGGGAAGCTCGCCAGAAGTCCGGAGCGGCAACCGCTCTCGAGCGAGCGTCTTAGCGAAGTACGTTCTAGTTTCGGGAAGGGAGGGTAGAGCGCGAGGGAGTGTTCGTCGACCTTGACCGTCAAATGCCCCCCAAGGCCCACCACCGCCACCTACACTAGAGGGGAGGGTACGCTGTGAGGGCGGACCTTCGGACGGATAACTTGCAAGCAAGTGTGTTCGCCCGTCTGCCTGTCAGGCAGACGCTTTGCTTGTCAAGAGTACGTCGTCGTATTGTCGCTATGACGATGACGCTTCTATGGCTGTTTGCTGCTACTCGGCCTCTGAGCAGACAGCTGTTGAACTCATCAGGAACATTAATGGAGAGGGATTCAGCGGTCGCATGACGATTCCGCCCGACGAACTTCCAATGCTCCCTTCCTCGCGCTCGCAATCAGTTCGGCGGACATCCGTGCGTTTCTCGAGCTCAGTCAGCGAAAAGTCTGTCTGATGATCGCCATGTTGGGTTCCAGCTGGAACTTCTGCGCGAAAATTCGTCGGGCGTCGAGAATGGGCATAGGTACCTGAACGATCGCTCGAGCGGGGAAAAATATATTCACCTGTAGAAAACTGAATTTTCGGGGTCCCGAGAAGGAAAGAGCAAATACTATAAACGGTTACGTTTGCTCTTCGGAGCCGCAAGCCGCACCCAAGGAATATGTCCATAGATATCGGGCGGAATTTCCGCGGGTCCTCTCGCGGAGGGAGAGTCACCAATAATATTATTATGATACATTATTATCTATATATAATATTATATGCTATTATGTATAATATCATGCTCATGACCAAGTTCGCCGGGAGGGGAGTTTTCTGAACGACTGCGTCTTCCTTTCTAGCAATTCGAGCTGGAGTCTGAATCCGAGGCGAGGCGACCCCTCTCGGCAGACAGACCACTTCTGTCTGCGTGAGGAGTTTCATCAACTCTGGAATCCACCGGTGAGTCCTGATAAATCACCTCCAATCGGGAGCTAGAATAATAAGCGATAAGGATCAGGAGCAGCATCGCGGTGAAGTAACCGAGTTCTAATTGCAGGTGACGAACGTCTGTTGTATATACGACTTTGTAGATAAACGAGAAATAGAGAAGGAGTCGGAGCAGATTGATGCGGCCCTCCAGCGAAATAGTGAGATGAACGTCAGTGTAGTGAGAAGTTTAGAAACAAAGAATGACGTCCCTGTCAGCCAGTCTGACGACGCGGTTGTGACCCAAGTCGAATCGACGTTGATAGTAACGAAGGATCACGAGCCACATCCCGAAGTAGTACTTGAGAACAACAGCGGAAACGTCTCGCAAACAGAAGATTCGCTCGAACGCCTCCAGGAGGACGAACATGCTGGTCGTGCCGAAGACAACCGGACTCTCATGGAGAGGAGCCACAAACAGAACGAGACGGACAATACCACGGCCTCGATTCTGAACGATTCCATCATACAAGACAAAGAGGTGAGTTCGATGCTGGACGGCGAATAAGCCTTGGTCCGAGGCTGAGCGCAGTCTGACTCCGACCGATATGATATCATTTTTCCCGCCGGGTTTTTTTTGACCCACCAACCACCAGATGGATCGGTCTGCTAAACCTCAATCTCTGAAACCGCATAATTTTTTTCCAGGCTATGCCCAGCTTCGATGAGTGGAAGAAGATCCGGCTCGAGAAAGAGAAACAGGACCCGTCGTATCCGAGTCCGAAGGAGCCGGAGCATCGAGACGGCGGTATCAAAGCTAACGAACGGAAGCGGGGCCGACGCAACTATGCTTCGATAGAATGCGGGGCGAAAATCGTCGCGGCCAACGCGAACGCTGCCGGCGCATCGAAAGTCCTACTCGAAGCCACAGACGAGTACATGTTGAATCCTTGCAACTCGCTGATGAAGAGCGGCATGTGGTTCATTGTTGAACTCTGCGAGAGCATCCATCCCACTCACATCGAGCTGGCGAACTTCGAGCTTTACTCCTCGACAGGGAAGGAATTCGTCGTTTACATGAGCGACCATTATCAGTCGCGCGAGTGGACGGAAGTGGGACGATTCGAAATGGCGCATCTGAAAACCGTGCAGAGCTTCCCCCTGGACGCACCGGGTTTCGGGAAAGTGATCAAAGTTGAATTTCTAAGCATTTATGAAAACAACCAATACTATTGCCCCTTGAGTCTGGTCCGGGTTTTCGGGAGTTCGATGGTCGATGACTACGAGGAAAAGGTCTCCGAGGACAGCCAGGGAACCCCCGAGCCGATCGAGAAGGAGCAGATCGTTGAACCTACGCCCGCCTCCGTTACGATCGTCGTGGATGAGAATATGGTTTCGAGGGCGAAGAAAGCGATGTTCAATATCATCAACTCGGTCAGCAAAGTGGTTTCGGGCACAAAAACCTTGGATGGAAACTGTAGCGACTGCTCGACGAACGAGAGTAGCGACCACGTGCTTTCCTTGGGCCAACAATTCGACAACTGTTTCGAGTTGACAAATCTCAGCGGGCCCGAAGGTCATCTGTGGCCGTCGATGAAGTGTCGCTTCGCCCAAGTGGCGAACGTGCAGCGGAGCTGCCGACCCCTGCTCGTCGCCCCCTCCATCAACATTGAACCTTCACCTTTGAAGCCGGTGTCGAATTTGTCTCCACCCGTCTCGATGCCGGCGTCGACAGCAGCCGTTCCCTCAATTACCATGACGGCCGAAATGATCTCGCCGACCACGGTCGCCGAGGCCGAGAAGAACGAAGAACTCAAGACCCAGTCGAAGGTTCTCCAAATGAAATTGGTCACCGCCACCGAAAACGATACGCCCTCACAGGCTCATCCGTCGGTTACGCGGAGCTCTCAGCCAGAAGCGGAACCGGTCCCCGTGGCGAAACCTAATGTAAAGCTTCCCCCTCTGTCGCACATGAATCCAGTCCCCTCGAATCAACCTACACCCGCACCGAATCAGGCGACGAAAGAGAATCTCTTCAGCCGATTCGAAAATAGGATCAAGAAACTCGAACTCCACATGAACCTCAGCGGAACGTATCTCGAGGAGCTGAGCAGACGCTACCGAAATCAAATGGAGGAGATGCAGGCGGCTTTCAACAAAACGGTGGCAGCACTCAACATGGAAGCCAAGAAAGGCCTGGAACGAGATCATAATCAGCAACAAGCGTTGGCAGTCTTGCAAGTTAGTACGATTCGAGAGGACTCAAATCCTAATCAGTGAAAGATGAGGTCAACAAGCGAGAACATCCTAACGATATCCCGTCATGAAAACGCATAATTCTCTGAAGTACCTAAACTTCAGTACTGCGATGATTTCCAAGCCTAGGAATTGTGATTTTCAGGAGAAGCTCTCAGCGGTCACGGAATCTCTGCGAAAACTCGAAATTGAAAGTGATTCCCTGTGGTGGCGTCTCTTGCTCGCCTACCTTGGCCTTCTCGCTAGCAGCATCGCCATGATCACTGTTCTATCCCGTCAGATCTGCCTGCGCACGATCAGAAACTCAGCGGAACCAGTGCCGGCAGAGCGCCAGATCCTTGAGATCCTGGAACGTCTGTACAAGGAGAAGTACTTGCAAGAGAACGCCGACTCGTCGAAGCAGAACGGTTCCGAAAAACCCAAAGAGGAAACGCCTCAGATCGCTGAGAAGCTAGAAATGACGGAAGAAGAAACAGTGAATATCAAGACAGAACCAAAGCGTAAGTTCTCAGGATAGCGCCTCAAATTCAGAAGAGCGCTGTCGGGAATCTAGGTCATTTCTATCTTCAGCCCTCGTTGATTATTATTATTATCGTCTATAATAATTTGAGTCCCCGAAATTCGTACCCCGGAATGCCTCTCCTCACTTCAGTTTATCATTCGCAGTCGATGATCTGAAGCCGATGGAGATAAAGATAGAGCCGCTAGATGAGCATTGCTCGGAGGTGCGGCAGAACTTCGCGGAACCTTCCAACGGCGTATCGCAGAAGGTAAGTCGTTCTTGTCAGGATCTCTGAGACCATTCATATCCACGAGTTCGGTGCGTTATGGATGCAAGTGAATGTTGTGAACGTGAGACTCACTCAAACCGCACTTTTGGCATGCAAGGGTAGGATGGAAACTTCACCATAGATTCATACTCCGATTAAAAATTTGCTCGAAATTCATGCCCCAAGCTCTACCACACTTCCCTTCGACCAGAATGCGCTCGGAATTTCTTGATCTTGCTATCGTCGAGGATAACTTGCTGATTTTCTGCTTCATTTTTCGAATAGAGAAATTCTCTTCGGAAATCGCTCCGAGTATTGACGGACCTCAGACGAATATCATTTTCCGAGTTTGAGCGAAATCGATACTCCTCAATCAATCAATCCTTAAATATTCAATTGTCCTATATCATGTCCTGTTGGACTTTCAGCGCAAGCGCCGCCGCAAGAGACATCAAAGAGAGGAGAAAATTGTCGAAGCCGACAAGTGTGTAGCCAGCAGCCGGCATTTAGCCGCCAACGAAGTTAGTCAACCTTTAGTCAAAATAGTGCGGAGTCTCTGAAATGAACTTCAAAGCTTTCTCGAGAATTCTCCTTCTCCTCCTTCCGACCCGTACCTCCTCCCCTTCGGATCCGCGAAAAACCCTGGCTTTCCCTTAATTTCCCCTGATACACTTGCACGGTTTCCCTCCAAGGCGAAAATTGAGTCTGCTCCGAGCGAAGTCTCAATTCCGAGAAGTTTCCGTCGATACTCCGAATGTACATACAATGGATGGTATGCTCGGGTTGGTTATCCGGGATTATTTATTGTCGCATACGACATCGTTCGTTTCCTCAGCCATTCGATGTTTATTTATGCGGAGTTTCGTTCAGTCTGTTATGAAAGTGATTCTATCTGAGTTCATGCGTCGACTACAGCCGTCGTCGCTGTGTCATTCTTTACTGGAGTATGAAATAAATCGAATGTGTCTCTTCGGGCCGCCTCTTCTTTTCACGATCGCACGACTCGTTTTAATCCTTAGAGCATGATATTCGACTCGTCCATCCAATTGTGTCTTGCGAAATCACTTCTGAGCGGCTATTCAGCGAATGGAGGACTTCTCTGGCATGAGCACATGCCTTGAACGTTCTTTTCCCCGAGAGGATCTTCTGCACCGTCTTCGACTTCTTGTGCTCTTCGTCTTCTTCTCTCAGTATGCAGGGAGCTCACGGCAATCTAACTGTTGGCTAGCACTTAATTGTATCCTCGGAGATGGATGTTTAATTCAATAATGGAGACAGAGTCGATTCCGATTCCAGGCTCATCAAGACGAAGAGGAAGCATGGGACGCAGGTGATCTCAAGAAGGAGTTCCCCGTCCTCTCGAGGACATCCGTGGATAACGATGTGTCCTTGCCGACGTGTACAAAATGCGCTTTAAGCTGTTGCAGCCATGCTCTCTTCCGGCACTAGAGCTTGGTGTGCGAAGCCGTAGGTCCGAGTAGAGCAAAGCTAGGGAAATGAGAAATGACATCAAGTTGACGAGAGAGACCAGCGAATCCTTTCGTTCGTTCTTTTAAGCCCCTCGAAATCCTCTCCGAGATGCGTGCGCTGTTCAATGTCATCACGCTCAGACTAGGTGCGAATCGATCTCGCTTACTTCCATATAATATGTCATAGGAGGGATCTGGGGGCAGATGTGGATTGTTGAAGTTGTTGAATGTGCGGGAAGCGAGAGGGGGAGCCCCGGAGAGTGGGGTTGAGCCCGCCACGCAGATACGTTGTTAATTGACCCCGCGATGCTTCTAGTCGAGGAGACAAAAATGAATACATTATTTTTCGAGAGAGACCAATATTTCCGAATTTCTCCTCGGAAGCTCACCGTATTCGCATTTAGCGAGTCGAAAGCTCTTGAGAAAATTCACTTGGGAAAACGGACCTCGGAGGAGGGATTCTCGCTCGGATCTATGAAGGATCCACCGAGAGCTCCGAGGACTCCTTCCCTAAACACGTGAGCTCCACGAAATCTACTGAATGTGACCACAGAGCACAATGTACTTGTCTGTCGATTTTTCTATATCTAGAGTCTTATCCATCTAAACTTTGCTACGATCAACAGCCTTGGATGACATTGTTGGAGCGAGACAATTTTCTGGGAGGCGACCTTTCCTATAACATAATTGGTAGAAAGCCCCCTGAATTATGGTGACCGCATCCAGAGGCTTATAGCCTCGAACCTGGCGGTGATTTCAAGGTTCCGATGGAAGATCCTTCGACTAGCGTCGACGTGCTTGGAAGAATCGGGTCCATCGCGACCGAGGGGAATTTTCCTGTTACTTTCGCCGAAGTCTCTCATCAATCTGCTCTGGATTGATACCATCAGGATGTCGAATTTGAGTTGGAAGAATGTGAACTTCGTCTGCGGTCGTCGGCCAATGGGCATGAGGGAACAAGTCATGAGGGAATCCACTCGAGTTCGACCGAGAAATCCTAATAAAAATTCAAGCCCCTCAAGAAGACACCGAACTTTTCTTTTGGCCTCGTTAGATCAGTCGCAGTCATCCGGAGCAGCCGTTTGATGAGATTCCGCTGAGAAATGAAGATGTAGATCATGGGCAATACATACAGGGGCGACTTGAATGAACCAGAGCTCTTACGTTCTCCGGATACGCAGTTTTCAGATTTTTCAGAGGATGCATGCGCCTCTAATCAGGCTATGATTTGCAGAGGATTTGTAGAGAATTTGCCGAGTCGGCGAACTCCAACATAAAATGGTGCTCCCGGAATCGATAATTATTATGTTATCTTCCCCGTAGAGTCTCCTCGAGATCATGTCACTCCTGTTAGCCGCAATTCCAGGAGTAGACTAGCGAAGAGTCTCATTCCAGCTCCAGAACCTTCGTGAATTAAGAGCCGCGCTTCTGAGAGATGACGACGTTCGAAATACGGCAGTTTGCATGAGATTCTTCCTCTGGAGATGAGCACCGTATCTTGGGGTAGCATACACGCTCCGAGATCCGATTTCGATTATTCTCGGATGAACGGATGCGCAAGCCAATCGGGAACTTGAATAAGCTCCGAAGGTCTCTTCTGCAATTCGGGTTGGTCCCTGAACACCGTCACGCTATACGCAGGTTTAACGCTATACGGATGTTTCGACGGATTCGAAGGCTGAGGTCTCCGAAGACTCGGCTCCTCTGGGAGAGCGTACCTTCGTCGAAGATCAGGACGCCGAATGCCTCGACATACGCTGATTTCGACCGGAATTCATTTCTTGGTCTGATTTGCTCTCCCTCTTCCTTCCCTGACAACAGCGACGAATGTCTTTCCCTTTTCGTGTGACGTCACGGGGCCTCCCTTCACTGCTGCCTGTGTTGCTTCTACAGCCGCTCGGGCTGGGTGAGCAGACCGAGAGCTGACATCTCCCGCTTGTGGCCATTGCTGGCAGGCTCTATGTGTCGACCAGTCTCCAGTTGTTAGTGTCGCCGTTTACGCCGTTGCTGACGAGTCGCTGCAAACGCGCAAGATATCTTCCGGTTCGGTAAACACACCTCTTCCGCACGCGCCTCGACAAGATTCCCCGCTGTACACATCTGGACACTTCCCGCTTCTTCGTGCGTTCGAAACCCCTTAAGATGACGGTCAAGTGTGCGAGCTCGAGGCTCCTTCGCGTCGGGGGTCACAATTTCCAACGATTGTCGCGAAAATCGCAAATTGCGTCATGGATGCACACAAGCAGTTGGTGAGTGACTAGGACTCGAAGAATGACCAGAGGAGGGAAAATATGTGATCGAGCAGAACTCGCTTAGTGACACGGGATGTAGAAGTATAGCAGATGCAGAAGCCAATGGATAATGGATATGCGCTGGAATTTTTCGACTGCCGATCCACCGATGGAAACTAAATATCACGGCGTAGGGAAAGGCGGCATGCTTCGCGTGTATAATGGCCATTTGCTCTTCCTTCTGTGGTCTGTCTGTGAGGGTCACTGAACCAAGCCGACGACTGGATGATGCAGGCCAATAGACTATTCCAGCGCGCGGTGACAGCGAGAGAATAATCCCTCTGGTTCGCGGCTAACGATGTCGATGGATCCGAGGATGACTTGTATGAGCGCCAAAAGACGCTCGCGTTGCTTACGTCTTTGTTCTTTCACGTCCGGTGACTTCCAGAAGAGTGTCGAAGCGAAGCTCTGATTTTCTACCAGAACTCTCGGATATCTGCTCTGTCGGGTCGCAGAATCCGGGCTCAGGTGGTTCTGTGAATGTCTCAAAATGGTACCCCTTTGTGCCGAGGCAGATTCCCTCCAAAGATCAGAGCTTTCTTATGTCCTGATTACCGTATCGTCGGCTGTTCATTCACCTGTTTGTAGCCGATCTCTGCGAGAGACTTTTGCCGGCACATTCCTCACAGCAACAAAGGAGAACACGCGAAGCGAAGAGCGATCGCAAGCTCGGCTCCCAGCATCATTGTTTGACCAAATGGCCAGTAACTGCTCCGCTGGAAGAGGAACGAAACGCATTGGGGCGGTCTCTCCGACAACAAGAGCTCCAGACGTACACGAAACAGAGCTCAGCAGCTTCGTTGGCCGGTGTTCCTCAGCATTCCCGAGTACCAGTAGAAAGCAAATCGAAATCAGTCCCTGCACTGGGTGATGGGCGAAGAGTGGGAGACGAGCGTGTCAGACCGGGCGTAACGAGCCGCCATAGCTAACTGCGCTCGATCGACATTATGTAGATATTGCATCGAAATTTTGCTCGGAGATTTCCCGAGGATTTCCGCATCGTCGCTTCGACAGTCGATTCCCGAATCCCGTGACCCTCGTGATCCTACGAACGTGTTCGGAGGTCCCGATGATCGTCCCCAAGCAGATCACATCGATGAACGAGGTCAAGATTCGCGTTCAGTCTAGTGGGCGCCGGTTCGGTTTAGATTTAGAGGCACCCACTTGCGGAGGAACTTCCGCTCCATCCCAACATCATCAGTTCTGGACTCCGAATATATCGGAATCACTTCAGCGATTCGACAGTCTTTAGAAGCGGAGCTCGACAGCCTATCAAGGAGCTCCCGATACGTGAATTTTGGGTCAATCCTCTCAATATTGCGACATTCCTGCATTCGATGAGTCGTCCTAGAATCTAGTTTATCAATATCAAATCAGCATGCGAAACCAAGTGGCGAGTCCGGAGACTGCCCCGAATGGCTTACTGCTGCTCCGAAGGTCGATCGTACGAGACTCTGTTGGCGATCGACAGGCTCCAAGGCTGCGATTGCCCCCGGGAGATATCTCCGTAATATATCATTCAGGCCGTTGATTTGTGTTGAATCATCGCTTGACATTGACTCTAGCATCCCAAGCCACCGGTCCTTATCAGAAGCGAGCAACGATATGCAAGCAACAATCTCTCTTCTCACCATCCCGGGCGGATACTATTTTTGAACCTCATCATTCATCCTGCTATCAAAGGATACTGCGGGACATCGATTCCATGTCGGGTACTCTCGAATGCCACGGCTCATGAAATTACTGTTAAAAGCATTGAATACGCCCTGAGACGACAAGCATCCGCTTGTTGTGGGCCTCGGTCAATTTCAACTCTCGCATTTCTGGATCGAGAGCTAGAGGTCAGAGGTCGGCACCGTGGATTTTGTCAACAGGACTATTGATTCGTCCTTCGGATCCTCGTGACTGGGTCAATAGAGCAAATGCTGACGCGCTAACTCCTGAATCAATACTCGGAATCTCGCTCCACGCTTCGCTGGGCGGACGCTTTTCTGGAGATTCTCCCGCAGATTTCGGGGGAGTCCATCGAAAATCCTGAGAAGATTTCCAATGCCTAAATCGCAGTCGACGCCCCCTCAACCGCGTATTGTCTTATTGGATTCCCCCGGGAAGCCTAGACTCGCTCGAATCAGGAAGCGCCCTTGTTTTTTTTATCCCTTCGAAATGGAATGGTCCAGGGTACGTGGGCTATCTGTGAACTCGGCAACAGAGTCTAGGGTTCAAAGGTTCCCAAATGATTCGACGGCTTTTCAAGAGTCGTCTATATGGCGGGCAGACTAAGAGATCACTCGGCAGTGAATCGGTCAACTCAACCACACTGGAGTACAAATCGCTCTCTTTCTCTGTGCAGGGGTGTCAGACTTAAATTTTTGGCGGGCCACATTCGAGCGCCGCAGGTGCCCGCGGGCCATCGGGATCGAGGGAAAAAATCGGTCGTTCGGTCTCGAGGAGGGATTCATTCCAGCGATCTCATTCGATTTCCAAGCACTCATTCGAAATGGTCGGCTTCGAGTATGTGGGGGAATAGTGGTGGGCCACAGAAAGAGGCCTCGCGGGCCACATGCGGCCCGAGGGCCTCGGGTTTGACACCCCTGTCTCAGTGCATCTGATGTCCTCCGGAATGTCCTCCGCCTCACAGGCTCTCCGGGATTCGATCGGGATTCTCATTCGAGCTTTTCCCAATAATTACCGGAGGGCCTCGCAGCGTGAGTAAAGAATTTGACTCGGAGATGCGTTCCTCGATATGGTGATACTTTTTGGAAGCTCATTGTCGTTTGATGACGGAAAGAACAGCGCTCGTTGCGCGTGGTCGAGCCAGCTAACGTCTGGAGTACCTCGTCAAAACTTTCAAAATATAATCCTGTATCTCTTCCCCCATTTTGATCCGGTTATTCGATCGAGTATCGAGAGCAAAGCCGAACGTTTTCTAGGTCGTCGTACTTCAGCCGCTCAACGATACTCACGTTTATACGGAATTGGTGGCAGTCAAAATTATTTAGATAACTGAATCCTTCCCAGTGAGAGGAACCGACCTGAATTTCAGTGGAATCCTCTGATTCAACTATCCCCCTTCCTTCTAGGCTTCGCTCATCACCATCAGCCTCCGAATCACCGGAGTTGGAGACCGAGAAAAAACTCTCGTACCATTGTGAAGTGGGTACAACCCCGCTGAATAATCGGACGCTTGGAAAATGCATAAACCGGGCCGCCGCATCATCCGGAGACAAAGTCGCTTACACGTTTGTAGAGTCGAACCGGAGTTTCACATTCGGTGAATTTCGAGAGCATGTCGATCGATGTGCGAAAGGGCTCTTAGCCGCGGGACTTTCGAAAGGCGATACTCTCTTGATCTTCGCGCCGAATATCCCGAACTGGCTTTTGATTTTCGCAGCCTGCTCCAAACTCGGAGTTGTGAGTGTAAGTTGGAGATGATTTCGATGTTATCGATAATTTCGGAATATCTCATAAGTTCCCGAGAGTTCGTGTATGTTCACGACTCATTGAAGCTCTCACAGCTCGCCGCATACTGATGGAAACGTCATCTTCCAGGCCAGTGTGCACCCCGCCTATTCGAAACCGGAATTTTTCAATGCCATCGAAAAAGTCAAACCAAAAGCCATTTTCATCCCGGACGAATTCAAAACGATCAAATTCTACGGGAATCTCTGCAAATGGATCCCGGAGTTGGCGACTTCGTCCCCAGGACAGTTGAGCTCAGCGCAATTCCCCTCGATCAAGACTGTCATCGTCGAGTCGGAAAAGACTCTGCCGGGGACTGTGAACATGAAAGAGATCTCTCAAGGGGGTAATGCCGACCTTGAGGCAGCCGAAGCGAAAGTGGGATGCGACGACCCACTGACAGTGATTTTCACATCGGTAAGATCCTAACATAACATCTGTTCCGAGGTAGTCCGTGCTGAACCCCCGCGTTTGAAGCCGTCCCGACAGGATGATTTCCCCGGCGGTTCATATGCCATTCTCCTCGATCTTCCAGGGAACCACAGGATCTGCGAAGGCAGCAAGCTTGATCCATCATGGCTTCATCAATAATTGTCAAATCGTGACTGACATCATGGTTCGCACCGAGGATCAGCCTTGTATTATGAACCCCTTGCCGCTTTTCCACGTGTTCGGATTATTGAGCGCCACTATTCCTATCCTGAGCGATTATCGGGTGAGGCCTGGAGTCGCTGTTTCAGAGACGCACTCGTCTATTTCAATCGATCGAGACAATCTGTGTCTAATCGGGCTCTAAAATGGAAAAGCCCTCGAGGTCATTCAGAAGAAAGCAACTCATTACCGGAAACGTTGATTTAATCACAGGAAGAAAACTGTATTTCGGCTGGTGAATGGCTAGGTCGAGGTTCGGTCCGTCAGGGACAGCTTGTTGAGGGGTCTTGATTTCGTTTCAGACAATTTTCCCCGCGATCGGCTACGATCAAATCGCCATAATGAAATCTATCCAGGACTACAAGTGCACGCGCATGACTGGCTCGCCGACGATGTTCATCGATTTAATCAATCATCCGGAGCGATCGAAGTACGATATGTCGAGTCTCGTCTACTGCACGATGGGCGGCTCAATATGCACAACTGAAACGAGAAAACTAGTCGAAGAGACCTTCGGATGCCTCTCTCTCACAGGGTACGTGTGACATCGGCGCTTCCCCGCTGGAGTGAAGTTTGATCAATCTCACCGCTCCCTGACTCCCTGACCCTTCTCGGTCTCTCCTCTGAGGGAGGAAATTCGAATATCAATCGGTGCCTGCAGATTTTTCCTGGAAAAACGAGCAGACGAACGAAGACTTTCCATGTTCGAGAAAAGAGGTGCTGATGGGAGGATTTATTACAGATATGGTTCCACTGAGACGAGTACCGTATGCTCGCTTATCCGACCGGACGACCCGCCGGAGAAGCGCATGGTGTCCGTAGGAAGACCCCTGCCTCACGTCGAGATGAAAATTGCCGATCCGGAAACCGGCGTGGAGGTCCCGTGCAATGAGACGGGCGAAGTCTGGATCCGGGGCTTCAATATATTCAATGGATACCTCGGTGAAGAAGCAAAGACCAAAGATGTGATAACGCCTTCGAGATGGTACCGATCCGGCGACATAGGCACGATGGACGATGAAGGTTACTTCAATATCGTCGGCCGATTGAAAGACCTAATTATCCGAGGCGGGGAGAACATCCATCCCATTGACGTCGAAGTTGAACTCGACAGCCATCCCGCTGTCGAAGAGTCACATGTGATCGGAGTCCCCGACAAACGATTGGGTGAAGAAGTATGCGCTGTGATTGTGCTCAGAGACGGTGCCGAAGCCTCACCTGAGGAGCTCCGAGCTTATCTCAAGGACAAAGTCGCCTATTTCAAAATCCCGAAATATTTTCTGTTCGAGTTAGACGTACCCAAGACGGCCATCGGAAAAGCGCAGAAGAACAAAATGCGAGAGGCTGCAACGAAGAAACTTGGCCTATGAGTCTTCAAATGGCATCACTACTGAGCGTACCCGCACGTACAAATCGAGACTATTTGGAGAGCATGCTTCTTGTCCCGGGGATGGGGGAGACGAGAGGACTGAGATCCCTTGTTGTTGCTGTAATATATCCATTGTAAATAACTCTTCCCCCCATGTGACCACCGTAGGCTTCTCTCGGGAGGTCCCAGGTTTATTTTATACGGAAAAAACTTGTTATTCAGAATTCATTGGCGGAACAGCGCGTTCTGAGTCCGGTTCTTGGATACAATCGTCTTTCAATCGACCCTGTTTTGGGGAATCAGTTCTCGGAACAATAAAATTATCATTTTTCCTCGATATTCTGGGTTATACCTAGCTCAGAGCACTCTCCATGGACAAGCATGAAGCAGTCCTTCCCTCGGAAAGCCGCGACTCCGTCTCAAAACACGAGCGGAAGCTGCGATTGTTTGGCTCACTGATCAAGCATCGACATGTTATGTTCGCGGAAAATCGTGGGAGTTTCCCGGGAGGCGTGAACAAGCACGCAATTCTCCGTTCCGCACGCATCCGCTATTACTGTCATTTTTCTGATCAAAAGACGGTCCGATGATAAAAAGACGAGTGTTACGTCTTTCAAAGTCCCTATCGCCGATATCACACTCGCTCCGAAGACTGGGGTCGACAGCAATCAGGTTATAGGCTTACATAGATATCGATATCGGCTTCTTGAGAACACTTCAGGAAGTCTGAGGATTTCAGGACAGGGCACCTCGTCGCCAGTCTCGGGCGAGGTCGAGACCGAGACATTTCACTCTCGCTGGCCTTAAGAATGAACAGGTACGTGATCCGCAAACCCGTTTCTCTCTAACCCTCCTTCTTCCCACTCAATAAATGGAGTATCTCACCACCTGTACATAGATGAGAATCACCACGAGTTTCCGTCCTTATCCAGGAACATTACAGAAATCCAGAACGGTCTACACTGTACCCGAGTAACGATGAATGGGACCCCGAATGAGCCTCAATAGGATTCGAAGTTTAATTTCCCCTTGCTAGAGATCGAGATCGTTCCAGATATATATATTCCAGATCGTTCCCTGCTGAGTCGTCGCAGAGGAAATGGAAGCTTTCGCGACTAGAATAATTAGTTATCCGTTCGCTGGAGCATCTGTATGATGAGAACGTTGCACTGCGCCAGCATCACAGTGTAAGTGACAACAGCGGCGACGATCGCGGTGTACAGGTCGAGATCGACTCGGAAGAAGCGGATGGCGTCTATCCGGAAATCGTCATGTAGACCCGTTCTTCCAAGAAGTACGAGATGAGCCGCCAGAGTAGACGGGGATTTCCTGAGCAGGAACGATTCAGTGTTCATGATGAGCCTTTTTAAAACATTGGACAATTTCCGCGCCACGAGTATCGGGGCGAGCAAACTCAGGGCGTGGGCGAAACCGAATGCTACGTAATAGACCCGAACTTTTAGGACCATGTCCTGCATCGTGATGAAATAACCAGCAACGCAGAGGATAGGAACTGTCGAGCTGTAGCCGAAGAATATCCCGAGACCAATAGTCTCCGAGACCTTCGCCGACACCTCGCGAACCGCGTTCAACTGGACCCTCATGCGATCCACGGCCGCGATCTTCTCGCTCTCCGGGAGCTTGCTCTTGAGGACGAGTAGGAGAATTTCCTCGATGCGTCGTATGTAGACGCAGAACAAGTGAGAAAAGTACGTGAGCCACACACGACACACCGTGGCATGACTCGGAATCATCAGAGCCCCTACAACACTGAACATGTAGGCCACGATTTCCGATTGGGGTGGAAGAGGCACATCGAGATGAGTCCAGATTCCCAGACCGAAGTCATTATAGGCGTTGATGGTGGAGTTGAAGAGGATCACTAGGATCTGAATGAGAAGACTCAGACTCGCCCCGAAATTGGCATCGCGAAGCATACCGAGAGTTGGGAAGACTTCTCGTTCGATGCTCTCGCACTGCTCAAGTACTTCGAGCCACTTCAGAGGATTTCTCTTCATCATTACGGCCGTTAAGAAGGCTTCCGCATTCGTCACGAAGACCATGAACCCGAATGCCATGACATTGAAGCGGTCCCTGTTGCCGAGTTTCTCAAGGCTGTCCTCCATCAGTTTGTTGACGAAATACATGAGTCCCCATTGCCAGGTCCACTGGAACCAGTAAATGATGAGATAAATTCTCGATTTTTCCACACGGGGCGGTCCGTCGCGCTCCAGACGGAGGAATGAGCCCTTGAAGTAGCGATGGAAGTTCGCCACCCGGCGGAAGGAAGGGAGGCACACTCGGATTGGATGTTCTTCACGTCCAGGCCGCATTTTTTTACACGGTGGCGGACAGCAGACCTCAGCGTTTTCGGCAGTCAGCCTGGGAACTGTGGTATGCGTGAAACCATGCAGGAATACAATCGGTGAACTGTGGATGGACGTCAGCAAGATTGGCTTCAGCGCCTAATCATGAATTCTATAACGCGGAGAGGCAGCGGAACTTCAATAGGTGACAGCCAATGCCGCCAATGATGAATCGAGCGGTGTTAGGAGGAGACGGATTCGACTGTATCGTGATCCGGACGGCAAGGAACCTCTGTGGGTCGATGCTAGGTTGCATCATAGTCGGATGTTCGAGCAAAGGAAGTGAGTCTCAAGACCAACGATGGTGTGATATACTCGGAGAGAATTGTTGCGATATCCTAGCGCGATATATCGTTCTCGAACCTTGACCGGAGCACTCATAGCCTTTTTAAGTAAGAGATCTAAAAATGAAACAGACGTCGAATCGTCGCTGGCCGTGCCTCTCCCAACAGTTGGCGTTCGTTTCGCACAAATGCTCTGTGTTGAGTTGCGGTGTAAGAGGACGAGTCTTTTTTGTCCGCTTTTCGAGTTTCATCGATAAACTCCATTTCTCGAAATTCTCGAATTAGCACTACGCCCATCTCGAGTGGAAAATGCAGGTTTCCAAGTGCTGAATTCGGCTGTGAGTTTGATTGCCGCGCCATACTTCGGCTTTGGGCGACGGCTCAAGCATGAATTCTGGTCGAGAGATCGTTCATGGACATCGAAACTCAGCCATGCGCAGCTCATCGCAACACTAGTTGGAGAGCTTAATGAAGACTATGGAACGGGTCGAAAACATAGGGTGAAAAGTCTCTTTTCGATTGCTCTCCGCCCAAACTTACGCGCGAACATTGCCCTTTATCCGAGATCATCTCCCGACTCCAAGCTTCAGGTCACGAAGGATTTGGGGAAGACGACGTTTCAAGCTCCTGAGGCTCGCCTGGATTCGTCTCGCATACTCCACCGATGCATAAGTTGAAGTAATCGGGAAGAACCATCATGGCCTCCTAGGTTCACTACAGTAAGTAAACACGGGAGACCTCAGAGACGGCTTCACGGCATTACGTAGAAAACCTGATCACTCCTAGTGTGCTGGCGTTCATTGCGCAGGATCAGTGAGGCTCGCACTTCGACATGATGAAGTTCCATCCATCAGATGAATCGCCAGATAGCTTGGAAGATGACCGGCTCTAAGCGCCATGTCGGAAATCCAATGATCGGGACTCGCTTGACCGGTGCCGATCAGAACAGTGGGTTTTAGATATCATGCGGAATTTCAGCCCTTCTCAATAAGGTTAACAGGGTTCTACTAGAAGTTCGGATCATTAAGGAGCGCTCGCTTCATCCAAACCCCGGCATTCCGATCCCGACCCCACATCCCGTTGAAACCCAGTACGAGTACTCAAGAAGGACATCCCCGTATTGAGACCTTCGCCCCGAAAAGAGCCACGAATCTTCGCACCGGCAACCCTTCAAGTACTGCCAGCAGTGACGGATAATCACTGAGTGAGTGAGACTATCAACGTACATGGAGCAGGGGTATCAAATCACTAGCTCACGGGCCAAATAAGCCCGCTGAGTTTCCTCTTTTGGCCTGCGCAGGTCTCTTATCCTTATCCGAAGTCCGATTTCCGCTAGAATTCCTGATTGGCCATGTGACCAAAGAGGATCTGGAGCGTATCAACGTCGGGATGAAGAGGAGAGGGCACTCCTCCGACTTGATGGCTTCAAGTCGATGTTCCACATGAGGCATAATTGACCTCTTCGAATAGACACGAGGTGTTGGCTTTGGCCGGCGTACCCTATCAGTAATCGAAATTCGCCAACAGGGTGTTCGAGTTTTACGACCCTGATCTCTACGGAGATTTCTCAGAGCGGAGCATACGCCGCGCCGCACCGGTTGGGCGAGAGTCCATGTGCGCCCCAGTAGGAGCTTGTGGGAGGTGGGGCGTTGGTGTGGGTGGGGCGTAGTTTCACATCAAAATGGGGCTCGGCGAGAAATTTTCGGGGAGCCCTGATCCGTGATAACATGTCTATAAAAATTCGGAGGAAGCAGGTGGAACAAGTTTTCCTTCCAGCCCAGGTCACTCCGTTCAGCAACGGAGACGACGGACGATTTCGCAGAGAGAACTCTCTCGATCGCAGGCAATTCCAGGGATCTAATCGTAGGGCGCAAGCAATAATTGAGTAGGAGAGACATAATTGCGTTCTCCCGCAGGAGAGTATCTCCCACGGGTACTCATGCTCACTTCTATACGGCGCGGTGAGTTCTTCGGCTGATTTCGAAAAAGAGCGCGAAGGGTTTCGCTCCCTACCCTCTCCGGACCCATCGCTCGCTCCAGCTCGGTCGCCTTCCCTCCCCTCTCTCCGTACGATTGCCACCACGGTGTGTTAGTGCTGCTGGTGATGGTGGAGCAGCGATTGCGGTGTCGTGGTAGTGTTTAAAAACCACTGCCTCGTTAGCTTCAAGTCATCGGCCGGCAGCCACAAAGGAGACAGTCAATATCTCGCAAGTTTCTCGTGCGTTGTACACCGGACTGTTCGCTGCCAATCCTTTTTGACAAAAACCCAGCGCAACGTTGTCAACACACAGCACCATGCTCGCCGAGTACTGCGATCCCCTGTGAGTATCCGCCCGAGTCCGGGTCGCCACTTTCACCCGGTACTTGTTCCATTCTCTCCCTGAATCATTTTCGTATAGATTCCGAGCGGCAACAGTTTCCGTTATCCGATCCTCATCGCGAGGTACCTATGCAGCTTAACGTGACCACCTCCGACCTCAATAATCCGAACGAATACAATAACCCGCTCCGCGCCGGGCCATCTTCCTCAACAAAAGTTTCATTTTGAAAATAACGGCTGAGCGGAACTTGACTCTCATCTCTGTCACTTTACCGTGATCCGCCGACTAGATGTTACGCTACGAACGACGCTCCCGCGAAGGTTACAGGATGTCGGAATCGCAGATGGTGCATTGTCCGTCCGGACAGAAAAATTGAGAATGAAGATCCCTTCGTCTAGGTAGGACTAGGAAGCCCTCGGTTCAGGTGATCCGCACCGGAGCGACTTCAAAGTTCGAAAATTCTTGAGTCTCCGCAGTGTCTTCACGAATGCTTCAATGGACGCACGTTGAGCCGAGCGGGCGAGACGACATCGCGCCTTACCAGCGTCAGGCATTCCGTTGATGGGGATTGTTCCATTTCCGTCCGTGTCGTCGTTTACGATCTTCATTCACCGTTTTGTGCGATCACAGTTTAGCCCCACTGTAGATTGAAGTCGGTGGTCGGTGTGTTGACACGGTCGAGATAATCACAAAGTTGCTAATCGTCGCGTCATATGCCCCTTCTGATGGCGCTTTAGAGAGTTGACGGTCGTTACTGCTTTGGTTGGCCGGTCAGTCAGTCAGTCAGCTAGTTAGTCGGCCGGCCGCCCGGCCTGCCGGTCATTCGGCGGTCGCTGGACTATCTCCACGTCAAGGTCATTCGAATGTTTCGCGCAGCTGTGAAGAATCTCTACAGTCGGAAGAGGCGAAGAAGGTTTAGGTTCTCGACAGAAGAAAACAAGGCTATTACAGAGTGCGTGGATATCGACGAGCCATTGTCATTAAGGAATGTTGCACCGGGGAACCGAAATCGACTCCGGATTCTGAGTTTTTGAAAAAGTTCTCGGGAATGACGTTCGTCGTCTCAGGGAATGATGCTTCAAACATCCTTTCAATGAAACTCCGAGGCGTCGGAAACGGACACTCATTGTCGTCATCGACGGCATCGCGGCATTCAACGACAGCTAATGATTTCGGTTCCGCGGGAGCATAACAGATTCTTATTGGTCCGACTGCTTTCAATGGTGTTTGGTTTTCTCATCGAACGACTGTATCAGGTGTTGTTGGATGAACATCTGGTGTCGGAATCCTGACACTTGCGAGCCAAGATACTAGCATAGAAACATTTATTTTCGTCATGATGGCTCTGCTGTAATAGGAGGAATTAGGCGTTGCGGGGGAATGACGAATGTCCGTCGTCGCCATTATGCGCGCCTAGAGGTATCGGGTTGTTTCTTTATTTACGAGAATTCAACGAGAATAGATTCTTTCCTTGGAGACTTTGGTCGAAGCGAAACCGTATTCTAGTGATAACGCGATTTGATCGGATCGGATGTTGACATTGACACTGAATTCATTCGTCCGCTCCATGCTGCGGAGGTCTTCCGCGCTTAGAAATAATTTCCGATCACTGTATCTGCGAAGTGATAACAGAAGATGAAGCACCGTGGATCACATGCGCGTGATTCTAATTTTACTTGACCGTTCTCTCATGATATTCGGTTTGTTTTCAGGAATGGCACTTGCTTCGTTGCCCAATCGGGTGTGGATATCGAGACAGTCAAGCCGCAATACTCGTTTCTGTTCGAATTCGAGGAGAAATTCGACAAAGATGCCAACCGCCTTTGGATGCATCAGAACTGGCACACGTCATTCTACTGGGCCGCATTGTACCTCTCGCTAGTTTTCGGAATCAAATGGTAAGTCAGGGTTTAGGGGTTTAAGGTCATACCACCTCAAGGATGCGACCACATCAGAAGCGAGAGAAAACAACGCATTTATTTCTGTTTGCCGACGGAAGGCCGTCGCCTGGTTACAGAAAAAGTGTGTCCGGGTCCGGGCCCAATGGGTCGTAATTCTTGAGACGCTGACGAGATGCCTCTTTGACTCTTGGAGCTCGGTCTCTTACCGACCGAAGGATGATGAGACTCTCTTTATTTCTCGGCCCTCTCTATGCTATTCTACCGTCGGGTTGATCGTTGCTCACGGCAATTATTCCTATGGAGACAGTTCTGAAAATCGGCTCATCTACCTACCGAATTCCCGCTATACGGGATCGATTTGTTCCGCCCCATTGTCATAGCGACCGACTCCGCAAAAGTGGAAATTTCTGGGATCTTTCCTTGATCTTCGAAGACTTTGAATGAATTCGACTGTGACGTCTGTTTCAAAGGCACGAAGACCTCGATCGGATTCCGAACACAGTTTAGTGTTGCCTGAGCGATGGGAGGAAAACCGCGATCGGAAGTTGTCCGCTTGACAGGGAAAATATCGCGATTTATTGCCAATTCCGGTGCGACTCGCTATTGATCGCGGGGGAACAGACCCAGCAGGGCTTCTTAAGGCGCTGGTGATAAACGTGATGGGGCATCGTTCCTCCGAACTCTCGGACTCGGTTGGTCAGCTTTGTAGAGTAGGACTCCTTCGACGAGAAGGAATGGAAGCGGCCGTACAGTCCGGCGAGCATCAGAGGGCACGGGAACCCTCTTAAGAACTTCGTCCAAGAGCCAAGATAATTCGTGGCGGAAGTCACGAGTCGCCCCAATCGGCTCGAAGTGTCGAGGATACGAACGGTCTCGGACGAGACCATCTACAGCGGAGAGGCGCGTGACGTATTTTTCGAACATAACCCGCTTAGAACATAACCCGCAGATTCAACTGGATCTCGCCGCATACGAACTACTCGATAAGATAAGGGTCATCAGCAGCTTCCACTGCGCTGGAACGAGCGCGAGGAAACGATTACACGGGACGGGTGTTGCGGGTGAAGTGGTCCGATCGAGATTTGGCAGCGTTGAACTCTTCGAGATATCGAAATATCCGAATCTGTCAATCGGAGAGCTTTATCGCGGGACTCTCACGCGGGTGGTTCCTATGCGCTCCGCGCTCGTGTCGCCAACGTTCGGGACGCTCAAGCAGCTCAGGGTGCTTTGAGTAAGTTTCCTGTCTTAACGTATCCACAAATCCATCTCGACGCTCGAGAATCGTCAACGACGTCTCTGCTCTCTCTATTCGGCAGACTAAAACGTTGCGGAAGTGTGAAGTCGTCCGGTAGAAGTGTCCTTGGATGAGACGTTTGATCGGAAGATGGTAACAAAATCATGGTTTGCCATTCTGGGAACGCAAATGGTGACGTCGGATCGATCAAGGGCGGGATGCCGCTTTTCCCGCTCGATTCGAGCTCAGTGAGCCCTTCTGGCGAAGAGTATCCGCTCCGCCTGTCGCGCATTCCGCTTCCTTCCATTGCGTCAAGGCGCAGAGCATCCTGTCGGTGGAGCCTTAGCTGAATTTGAAAGCGATCTAGAGCAGAAATGTATTACCCTTCAATCCGGCCTTGCCGGCGATGACACCCGAGAAGCAGAAACTTTATACACCGCATTCCCGGGCTAAGCATTGAATTCTCGTGACTTGAGCGGAATCTAGGCATCAATCCGATTGATTCCTCGATTCCATGAGCATCGAGTAACATAGCCGTTCCGTATCGAGGTGTCAGAATCGCAAACACATCGCCGTATAGATTGCGTCACGCTTGTTCCACTGTTACGAGCACCGAAAGCGGTTCGACCACCCGAGGGAAAGTGATCGTGGGCTTCTCGTGGGCGATAACGCAATGGTCCGCGAAGAAAAGTGGATTAGAACGACACACCGGGGCGAAAAAGCATTCAATGACGACATGTCGCATAACAGGGAAGAGCTCAAAGTAGGGCGAATGCGAAATCGGGAGAGGTGAGGCCCGATAAGTCTGTTTTTCAACAAATGAAACGAACCGTTGGCAAATCTTGACGCGAATGAAGCTTGGAGGTGTGTCGAGGGCAACGGAAACACTGTGGTCCGGACAGAAGCACCCAGGGTAGGGGACGATGTCCCGGGTCTTCCAAAAGTTGCTCATGCTCAACTTTTCCGATCATCTTTTTCTTCCTAGGCGCCACAAAGGATCGACCTGAGGACTCCTCGTGAGAGAGCGTCGCTTTCATTTCAAGAATCATTAAAGGCGAATAGGCCATCAGGGAAGTTTCTGGTCTATTGTTTTTGGTTTCTCCGAGGCGGAGACCCATCCATCTCGACGTAATGATGACAGCGCTGCGCGGTGACAATCCCGATATGCGTGAATCTCATACGGCGAGCTAGGTGCGAAAACATTCGAGAATAGCGCATTCGAAGAGCAGTTCGCAGATCCCTCCTCGTCACGCATAATAATTGATCTCGCTGGGTCCTTCAAGTGGCCATTGGGCCGCCGGGAACGGCGAGCTACATATTCGAGGGAGCTTTCGGGTGTCAGAGACTCTTGAGGACGAGGAGATTGTTTGAGCATATGTGAGGCAGATAGACCGTGTGCCCGAAAATTACGCAGTTCCATTGCTTATACAAGCATTTGATTCGCTTCGCGCGCCCCTGGATCTTCTGATTCTCCGGGAATCCTACAAATGGCTCGATGAAGCCTCATTGCATTCGAACGACCTTCAACCGCGGGATCCCACTGCGAAAAATACGACTTGAATCCACTCGAAGAGCTGCCTTGATAGGGAGGTGAAAGTTCTGAGACTTGTCAAGTTATTGGGCCGAGAAGTTCCAAGGTAGCTGCATCCAACTGGTCGACTCAACATTGTAGAATTCTGCGGACAAGGCTCGAAATGACCGTGCTCAGTCATCGTGTCGATAGGATTGAACCTCAACGTCTAATTTTCCGAGCAACGCAGCGAAACAGAAATTTCCCGTCAAAAGCTTTTTCTTGGTTCTGAATTCTTGGGGAAACACGTTATCTTGACCAGACTTCACTCGCAAAGTCCTCTCACTTTTTTCCAAACGCAGTCTTCCAAAACGCTTGCGTAGCCTTTCTGTTGAGCTCGGTGCGCGCGGAAAATCATGAGCCGCAACGATTTCGCTCACCGAGCGGTCATGAGATCATAGTGAACAATTCGGCAGAACACGGATTAATCTTTTCATCGTCATTTCCTTTCGCAGGTACATGCTGAAGCGCTCTGCATTCGAGCTGAAGAAACCATTGGTCATATGGAATCTCCTCCTAGCGTGCTTCTCTATCCTTGGAGCATGTCGCACAGTCCCCGAATTGGCCCATGTGATGAGGAAATTCGGATTCCAGCACTCAGTCTGCAATCCGTCGTACATCGAGTATGACCGTGTCGCCGGCTTCTGGACGTGGATGTTCGTCCTGAGTAAGCTCCCTGAGCTCGTCGACACGATTTTCCTCGTGCTCCGCAAACGTCCACTCATCTTCCTTCATTGGTATCACCACATCACCGTGCTGTGCTTCAGTTGGTACTTCTACCAACAGCATATAGCTCCAGCACGTTGGTACGTCGTGATGAACTACACCATCCACAGTGTCATGTACAGCTACTATGCGGCTAGGGCTCTTCACGTGAAACTTCCGGCGTGGTCGAATTGGTCGATCACCCTCCTCCAAATCACTCAAATGGCCGTAGGTTTTTACGTAACTCTACACGCCTACCTCACGGGTCCAACGTGCGCGATCGTTCCCCAGACTGCGCTGTGGTCCATATACATGTACTTGTCGTACTTCGCTTTGTTCGCCTTGTTCTTCTACAGAGCATACCTCGGCGGAGCCAAGGCCAAGAGGTCAGCACGGGTAGAAGGGAAGAAGCCCTCTTCGAAAATCCAATGAGGGAACCGATCAGCATTTATTAGAAGAAGTGTAGCGGTGGAAAACATATTCGTATAGGTAATCCAATCGCGTCAGAAAATTTGGGAATGTTTCTTCCTTCGGGTAGAACTCTCTCACGATGAGCGGCTTCACAACTCCGGACGAACGGGGACATGGGACGGCACCCTGATGAGCCATTCACACGGTGAACATAATAGAATACTGTCGGCGGCGAATCCGCGGCTCGGAGGTTTCGCGTGTCTAGCATTCAATTCTCTAACTCCGTGGATCATACCCAGACCCGTCGACAATCAATGCATCTCCCTCAGACAGACCATTTACTAATCTTGGGATGTGGAGGAGTTGCATAACTCACTCTTTTATACGCCTTGACTAAGCAGTGCTTTCCATTAATATATGTTTTGTCCTCGTCACGGTGTGGACTAGTGTAGCTAAGGCTAAGGAAGAGTTGCTCTGGCGTGCGACAATGAAACAAAGAGCAAACTTTCCCCCTCATGGAAAAGTAAGAAATCCGAATCCCCAGAAAGAGAGTCGATCCGACGACATTTATGAGTGAGAATGAAATGACGCTCGATTCCGAACGCCTATTTCAAAGGGGTGATCATCGTACGGATGCAGAGAATCACGTCAAATATTTATAATAACAACAACAACAAATAGATAGGTATTTCAAGACGCCTCGGAGAAATGCTATACCAAAGCAAGGTTGGCTCGAAGGTCGGCCAGTTCCAGAGCATCGAGAGGTTTCTCAAGGAACTTCTAGAGTTTTTACTTTCCGTACTTCTAGGACGACTAGCGTGGGCGTCGCTAATGTTATCAGCAGAGGCGAAAATGAAAACATTGACAACGAAGAAAAGTCATTCAGGGGAAACTTGTCAGATTCGGGAGGTGGAAGACGCGTGAAAAGATACCTCAGAGGAATCGTGTGCCTGTGGTGGGAGAACTTCCACGCTTTCCTCTGAGTTGAGGATCAGCTCCCCGAGAATAGAGAGAAAACGCCGTACAGTTTGTTTCAGGCAAGTTGTTGAGAACGGGTTACGAATAAACCGATTCCATTACACTCGCCACATATGCTGAAAGCTTGTTTTCATTCGTCTCTCCTGCGCCGGAAATTAAGAAGTTATGCGATCCTCCCACATCGGAGGAAACAGAGGAAAACAATCATTAGTAAGAAACACGTAGAAGAATGAGGACTTTCTTACAACCTGGCGCCTATGGTCCCTCGCGGTCTTCGAGGGATGGGGACCTGACCGCGATTAACGGCCGTGACCGAAATCCAATGCCAGATTCCTCAATGTTTCCGTCGCTTGCTTAGCAGTTCGACGTCGTTTTGACCCAAGCGTCTGTCGTTCAAGTGGGATCGTGTCCAAAAATCTCCAAATCAGCACAAGGATCAACATCTCGTGGGAGAGGGCCAAATTTCCTATTTATCGCTTCTGGATCCAGTCCTACTCCGGCACTCACAGACCGAATCGGAGTTCAATCCGCTGATAGCGTATCGGAAGAAATACCGATCTGATGAGCGAAAATACGCAGCAGCTGTAGTTTTGAGGATGCTTGAGTGATTAGACCTTCAGTGACAAGATTCGAGACGACGGGTATCTGTGCATGCGCCATGTGGAATCAGAGTGGTGGGAAAGGCGTTGTAAAACTTGGAAGGGCCTTCCTGGGTCCTGTCTCTCGATCGACTCAGGTGCGGGCCAGTCCTGCAAGGTCTAATACAGCTGAAAGCGTCATCGCCGGCTGGCGAAATTGCTTACGGATAAAGCAAGCGTTCCGTTTGCCAACAGGATACTCAGACGACAAGCGGACTCGGACTAGGGGAGTCCCGTGACTGCCATTCGCACAGACACTCAGGACGAGGAATGAGAATTTTCCATCCGCCTGAACACATGGTACACGGCTTCTCGGCCGGCGAGACTCGGGGAAGGCCTCCCATTCTGCGGACTGAGGTGGAAATGTTTGTCATAAAGGCTGCTTCCAAATACCTCGGATCATTTGTGCTGGAAGATATCATGGAGCGGAAAGACTTGCTGCGAGATCTGCCTGAGGTAGCTGATCGGAATATCGTATCTTGAATTCTCTCTACTTGTATCTTACTCGAAAAGGGCTTTCCAATCGCTATCTACGCCTTGGCCCGGTCACTGAAAGATCGAGACAGGGATTGGGAAATTCTTCGATAAAACTGAAAGTAATACTATTTCGCTCCAGAGTGGGTCGAGCTTGTGGGTGGCATCACGCCAAGTATTCGTTTTCATGGAGAAGCGTCTCGAATACAGGCAGCGATATATCGGTTCAATGGGAATCGTAACCCACAGACGGACTAACCGTCAATATTCCAGTACGAGCCTTTTTACGATGGAGGCCTTATGAGGGGGGGGGGGCTCCTAAGTTTCATGAGAAATCCAACTCTTTCAACTCCCGTCTTTCTCATCAACGTCATCGGGCGACTCCGCGACTCCGGATCGTAAAGAGCCCCGCTGTGATAGAAGCCCCTCGGCGGGATTCGAAATTCGAAAAGGTTGGACTCGTATCGGAATATTTATGGTATTCCCTCCGCTTGGCAACACTGACTTCGAATCCCCGGAGGTGCGCTTCAGATTCTCTTGGTTCGGGATGCATCCTGCCTCGCAGCCCGATCTGTCAATCTGTTTACGCCACCGCGTCGTGGACAGATTGATGATGTCGTGAGCAAGATGAAGAAGATCGAGACTTTTTGAGTGGGTGCAGATCGAATCAGAACGTCGGGTGACTTAACACGTAGAGGCTCTGACTTTGATGGTTCTGTTCCTGACCTCGGCCACCCGGTTGCCCTCCGACACCCATCTGCGATATTCTACGTCGACTGGTTCAATGCTGTTCGCAGTCCATCCGAATGTCCGGGCCTTCCACCCCCCCCCGGGGAGCGAAAACTGAAACCGCTCCTGGTTCTGCTTACCTGATGCCCTCCGTTGCGAGCTGCGGAAAAAGTCGAGGACATTATTCGAGCGTGGACATTGAGGGGACAGTGAGACCAGACGCCTGTGATCGCGATGCGGCTCTTCGTAGATTGATTCCGATTCGGCTGTATCGCCCACGCTACCAGAATAGAGGAGAGCGAGTAGGCAGGAGCAAGATCACCTTGTACGCTTCACAGAGAGCATCTCAACGCCTCTAGAATGAAGCTCTGGAGGCTTTTTCAGCGATCGAATTCCTCATCTAGAACGCGCCGCTTTTCTGGCACCGAAGAAAACGGAAGAGGATGTGCTGACCAAAAGGATGTGCTTCCCCTGAAGGCAACAGAATGACGCAATGTTTTGTCGTGGGACTTATCGGGGAAATTTTCTGAAGGCACGGCTCGTGAGTCCGTCATAATGACGCTGCCGGTCCCGTTCGCTGGATATGCTTGGGAAGCGTCCCGCTCTGTGGTCGCTAGGGGCAAAGAGCGTGGTTTCCCGAACCCTCGTTGAACATGACCATCGGCGTCGCCTGGCTGGAAGATTTCACATTTCATTGCTTGACCCTTACATCTATCAACCACTTCAGCCGTCCATCAATCAAACGAGGGTCCGTGGAAGCTTGTTTCCGCGTCAACATCCGTAGGATTCTCAATGACGACCCTGGGTTTATTCCATGCCTTCCAGCTGAATCCACGGGGGCGAAACTTCCACCAAAATCGGCAGTCTTCGGTCGACGTCTTCCGATGAATAGCTGTCGTAGAAGAGCCTGTGACCAGTCGCTAGAGAAGTGCCCCCGGATTTCGCCGTGTGAGTTCCATGGAAGAGCTTGAGTCGAGGCCGAAACATATTGCTAACTGACATGCAGCCCAATTCATGCCTCGTGTACCATTTCATCTGCGAGGCATAGCAGAATCGGCGGATCTATCAGAAATCGGGAGCCACCATCGAGAGCCACCCCACGACCCGACGCTGGATCCTCTCTAGTGTATGATAGACCAAGTTTTTTCGAAGCTTGCTCGGGGTCTCTTGGAGCAATGGCTCGACATACGCTATGAGAGCGGCTGTTGACTTATCCGGGTCGAGGGTCCATGGAGTGAAATACGATTTTCCACTTGCTCTACGTCCATCGTGAGGGAATTTCTCATGATACTTTTTTTTGGTGCAGCGTGAAAGAAAGAACAGACACTCGACGGAGGTTCTCACTGGCGGTGTATTTCATCTGGCAGAGTTCACCGAAAACTGCGCGATCTCACGGACGAGGGATTCAACGAGAATTTCCGTCAAAAAATCCTCGTCACCCAGCAGAGACCCTGATGTCATACATGAAGTAATCCGCGGAGCTTTGGAAAGTAGCGCAGACTCGCATGCACCAAACCCCAATCGTCTGGAGATTTGCTCTTCCCTTCACGGGTGCTCCTGATGCGCCGAGTGACCCACTAAAATTAAATATTTTTTGAGGGAAAATGAGCATTTGGTAAATGTGAATCACGCCTCACAGCTCTCTCGGAGGCTCGGATCTGCGATCTGCGCGTAGAGCCTCTGGGAGGAAAAATTCATCTTCGCGATAATGTCGGCAGATTCGGATCGAGACGAACAGGTGCGGAAAATGAAAAGAGCTTCATCTATTAAACTATCAAATCGAGTTCAGAGCAACACCTTTATTTTACAGTTTTGCGGGGTACCTATTTCGGCTACCTATCGATCTCAGTTTTCCTCTTCCCCAGCGCTTCATTTCGTCTCCATCCAGGTTGCGAGACTTGATCAACATCTCGGGGGACGATAATGGGGATCATCTGGAGAAAAATAAGAGGGGGATTTTTTTCAAATTCATTCGGAGGATCAATTCCAGCTGTAAGAGAAAACCGTTAAAACACTATTGACTTCATGTCACGTCGATTGTAATAAGCTCCGCAAAGTCCGAGGTCAGCCACAGAAGATGACATCGGCTCGTCATGATCCACAGAAAACGGAATTAGCCTGCGTCGAGCCATGAAAGAATCAGATGAAGCGGCTGAGAAACGTATGCGGAGAAGGCTCAAAGACGATGCTGACGATTCATCGCGTTCCGCATTGGAAATTACACTCTCTCATGATAACCATGGGAGGCAAGATCATCTATTGATGATACCAAGAGGTTTCCGAGGCTAAAATAGCGGACATCGCTCCAATCGTTCGGATTCGGATAACCCATTCCTCGGAGACCACCTTGGAAATCGGGAGGCGGCTCGATGGAGGGGGAACGGTTCACTCCTATCGCCGGAATTCCTCATTTCCTTAGTCTGAGTACGAACCAAGCGATGAGATGGGAAAGCGTAGTGATTGAGCGCTTGATCTCGATCTGGAGAGCTCACCCATCTCACGACTTTGTTCGACTTCCGATGAGATAGGATGAACGGCTCAAGTGCACGACAACTCACGGATCTGAGGATTGTGGTGTCCGTGATGATGGTGATCGTGGGGGGTCGTCGTGGAATAACCTGGAGGAATGTGCTGCGGACCTGGGTGCCCGTAGTGCTGGCCAGGATTGTACGGTGGCTGAACCGGAGGCACAATTACAGTCGTAGTGGTCCCATTGTGACCATGATGCCCATGATGGTCATAGGATCCGTGGTGCCCATGAGGGTCATGATGCCCGTGATGCCCATGGTGGTCATGATGCCCATGGTGGTTATGATGCCCATGGTGGTCATGATGCCCATGATGACCATGATGACCATGGTGACCGTTGTGGGGACGATAGTGATGGCTCTCGTCGCTTCCCATTCCGGCACTGGCGATCTATCCGTCAAACGAACACGAACTATGCTCGAGTTCGCTCTAACGTCGCTCTAAATACGGCTCTAAGCCGGCAGGTTATCTCCCTCTGTCTCTGTCTCGCCGATCCTGGATTCTTGTAATCGATGATTCATCGTGTGTCAAATTTGCTCCGGCGTGTCCACACCTTGGTAGTGCCTGCAAAAGGTCAGGCAAAACGGCTCTCTCTAAACTGCACTGCCGACAGGTCGAGCCATCGGTCCGCATTCAAAGAATGAGAGAGACTTGCGACTGCATCAAGTCACGCCGGAAATCTCACTTTCTCACTAAATCGTCGTGAGTGTTCCCTAGAGACTGGCGCACATGTTCACCGA